ACACAATCTGCTGGCTTCTTCTTTAGATTGTTCTTTTCGTGTACAGTGCCCTGAGACAACGTATGTTGTGACTTGGCCTTTTTCCTCCACCATGTTTTTGGCACGTGGCATGGAATGGCGTGGCGTGCAGCAGCGCTCGTCGACTAGGTGCCGAACTTACGTTTTTGCGCTTAGTTAAACTTTTTGTAAATAAACATTTTTGTTTTGATATTTTACACCGTCTCGTCTCCCTGTTTTGTTGCGGCCATGAGCCGGCCGTAACAGGGAAGAACAAATAATTTAGAAATATCAATTTTAAATGATGAAATTGTAAAATTTGGTATTATAATGGAGGACAAAACRCACGAGTTTCTTATAAACAATTTGTTTATTTTGGTGAAATATTTTGTTCACAAATGTAAGTTTGCCTAAACAAAACCACTTTCTTCTGTGTTTCTTAATGATTTGTCTTTGTTAAGAGATTCTTTTAAACTTTRCAATTCACAAAAAGCACAATCCATCTTCAATTGTTCATAGGCTTGTAAGTTTTATATATCAACTGGTGGGTAGCACTAATCTAAAATTTAGTTTCACTAGCCCTAAAACACTAACTCAAATATTTAGGTCCCCTAATTCTAAAGCACTAAAAGAACCCAGTCAACCCATGAACAATTTTCAACAGACAACATGAGTCACATGTTGCTCTCTTAAGACTTATCATTGACATTCCACAGTATTTGGGTTCATATATTATCAAAATATTATCACCTGGTGGATAAGTGACACACATCTGAACAAAATGTGTGACAGTTGTCACCCTCTGTTAACATTAACGTTGATCAATAACATTTAAAGACCTGTTAGTGCTTCTAAATTTAGCCTATAAGATTAGCAACTGCTAATCCACTGATACATTTTAAAAATTAGCAAAAGCACTAATCAGGAAACTAGTTTCCCTATTATTGCTTTAGGGGAACTGTGTCCACCGCTGTATATCAATAAAACTTTTTAATAAACTTTTTAAAACGTGTCAATTTGAGCCTCAACAGAACTGGAGGATTAAATATTCTGCAGTCAGTGTAGAATAATCTAATCCAGGTTTGATGTCTCTACGTGTTTTAGGTTTTAAACTAACTAATGACACGATTTTGCAGACTAAATTATTTCTGTATGTAAATTTTTCAAGTGTTATTTATTCAAGTGTTTTGAATTCTTTTGGTAGCATGAAGGATGAGTTATTTTAACAGGACCTCTTGAGCCCACAGGTCATGATTCCTCTCAAACTGAACTTTGTTCTTAAAAAGATTTTTTCGAGTCAAATGCTGTCTTAATCTTTCATTAATCTGTTCTTGTTTTGCAGATAACACTGATGTGACAGTCTGTTTCAATCTTTTGGGATTTATTATAGAATATTTTTACATTTCTGTGACATGATTTTCCTTTTTAAAAGGTATTTTATTTCAAGTATTTCTGATCATACTGTGAACTGAATATTAATCTGAACTGACCACTAACCATCTGAGGACAAATGTAATTTACTGCAAAATGAGAAGTTCTTGCTGACTTCTCTGCTGGGCTGTTTGTGATGGGAAGCCAAGCTGTCCCCAAAGAGCTGCTACCTTCCAGCAGTGAGGGCCTACATAAACAGTTCATGAAGAAGCTGAGTGACTCCCCCAGCCAAGTCTGAGAAAACCTGTCTCTGAAACTGTACCTTTTAAGCCTTCACACAGAGTGCTTCACAAAGCGGTCTGGAGAAACTCAACAGCTCAGGCTAAACTGATAACCTTCTAATCTGCAGTAATAAAATTACTAATATTTAATCTGGCAAAACTACTTAATCTAATTTTAAATTAATTAATAGAAGACAAAAATGTTTCCTTCTGGGTTTAAATATGTCTGTTGGT